TCTAGACATTTAAAACATGTTTTGTTTCAAGATATCTTTATTGCCTACTGCTTAAAATTCAAATTTTTTTTTATACGTTTGCAATTATAATCACGATTTTTTAATCAAGCAATAATATATATTGTCCACACAAATGGTCAGAAGATTTTATGGCACGCCCGTTATATCATTTTTCGAAGTTAATTTTATTAATAGATATTTATTTCTCGACATTTAAAACATGTTTTGTTTCAAGATATCTTTATTGCCTACTGCTTAAAATTCAATTTTATTTCTATACGTTTGCAATTGTAATCACGATTTTTTTTAATCAAGCAATAATATATATATTGAATAATTATTTTATGGATGTGTTTCAGAATGTAAAGCAGTTGTAGTCAAATAAATATGGGATAAGAGTTTTGGTACTAAAGTTTTTTTCTTTTAAAAAGTTAATACATTACAGTAAACGTCACAGTGGAACTTAGTTAAGCCTTAACCTGTTAAACTCAATTAGAACCTTTTAGGTTTTAGGATTAAGTTAAATAAATTTTCGAACTGTTACTCTTAAACATATGTAGCAGTTAGGATTCTATGCAAATTCATTTTTTAAACTAAAAAAATTGAAAAAGCTAATAAAACTAATTTTCAACTAATTTTTTTAACTAATAAAATTTTAAAAAGTAAAAATTCGGACGAAGAAGTGTGAAGAGTTTTGTATCCTTGCATTACGTCACTGTAATTTTTTCATGGCAAGCGGAAAATAAATGTCTATTTTTAGTTTTATTATTTTCATATCAGTAGTTAAAATGTAAAAATAAACAATATGATCTTGTAAAAGAGAGAAACTTTTTCAAAAGTATTGTTTTTTATTTTAAAGCTTTACTACATTTATAGCAAATATAATTGTTATTTGATTTCAAATAATAACAAATATTTACTGCATTATAGTGCAAATTCAAAGAAATTGCTTATTAAAGGACTTAGTGGAAGATAAATGTTAATTAATACTTTTATTCACTCAATACTCCAGATTTTAAAATTGCGTTCTAAGTATATAATTCCTATTAGTTTTATTGGTACAACATGTGGTTGATAGTGGTGTAAGTATAGTACAGACAAATCAACGAGTAAGACAGATTTCAATAAACGTTTATCATGTTTTCCTATTAAGTTCATTAATCTTGAAGAGATCTATTGCTTAATATCATATAATTCAATGTTTTAATCTGATTTTTGAAAGCTACAGTGCGTGTATAATTATAAATTCAAGTTTATAATTTAAAGCAACTTTAAATTAAAAAAATAATTACTAAAATTTTACTTTTTAGTTTTAATTTGGCTGAAAGATTGCACGGTTTCGATAGATAAAAAAAATTAAATCTAACTTTTGGATTTTTAGGCAATTGGCTAGCGTGTTTTAGTTACAGTATATTAATCAATCGCACACATACATTTAGTGCGCATTTAAATATAATTCCATTGAATAAAAATTGCTGCTTCTGCATCAATCTTGAGAAATTTTTTAAAGGTTGTTTCAATTTATGAAAAAGTTCGAAATTTTAAATTATTTTAACAAGGTACTTAGATTCCTAAGTTTATAACTTTTCTGTGAAAAATCTAACCTCTTATCATCTTTAACTTCTTAAACTTAAACTATACTTTCTTTTTTAATTGGTTTTTAGAAACAGAAGTACAGTAAAAGCACATTCAAACTGTCTCACTTCGTAATAAATTTTTCGTTAGAAAAATAAACTGTTCTTAACTTAATTTAATTGGTCCTAGTTCAGAGAAGATCTAGGTTTATTAAAATGCATTAAATATACGCCTTTATAAGAGCTAGTTTTGCTGCAAACTAAGTGTTAAATATAACGTTCACTATATATATATTGCCTTCACAACATTTATGACAGACTGTCCTGGTTTATTTTATTTGTATTGTTTTTTTTTGTTGCTCGAAGTATAGAATTTCCGCAATAACCTGAAATAGGACTGCATTTCAAATAGGACATAATAGAACATCTGGTAATTTTTTTTAGTCTAAGTTTGGAGAAGATCTAGATTTATTAAAATATATTAAATGCTGTGAGAAATAGCCCTGTCATTTCTAGAGATAGTTCTGTTTCAAACTAAGTGTAAAATATAGCGTTTACAAAGTATTAATACTGCCTTCACAACAGATTCGAGAGACTTTCCTTATTTATTCTATTCTTCTTGTTGTTTTGCACGTTGCATGGAATTCGTACAACAGCTTGAAATAGGACTATATTTCAAATAGGACATAAGCTAATAAGTTTCCATAAGTAAGGCATCATCCCAAATAAGAAAGAATTTCATGCCAAAAATAGGCAGTATCAGATTTTAGTCATTGGCAAAGAAAAATAAGTTCTTCGTAAGGACAACCTGAGCCCAAATCTTACATGGGGACATTATAATGCTTCGTCTCCTTGCTATGACCTTTTTCCAAATATATCCCATCATGCCTAGAGGGTTACAAAAGATGGGAAGCAATCACCATATCTTTACCTTAATGCCTTGATGGTAACAGGAGATCTTGCAATTCCAATGCACGATCATTATTCTTGGCATCTTGGCGAATCATTTGGGTCATTAGTTGAATAAACGGGAAAGGATTTCTTAAGCTACAACATTGTTTTTTCTTCTCTTGGCTACGTTGGGCTTGCAATTGGACACGCCAGACGAAGCAGTTTGGTGGAAAAAAATAGCTTTCATTTAGACCTGTCTTCTGCTGGATTCAGATAGATGACGAGGAAAAGTCTTCTATTTCTGGAAGAAGGATGCGTTCTTATCTTCCAGTCTTCATTGAAGATGGAAGGTTCAAGTTTCAGGAAAATGATTAATGTTTCGCAGAGGGGAGCTTATTTCTGGGAGAGAAGCCGTAACACATATCGTTAAAGAAATTATTTTTTAAGGACAGTTGTTATTTGAATACTAAAAGTTATTTATAATGAATATGACTTTGAGATCGGCAAGCAGGATCTTTTTTGAAACTTCAGAAATAAATGTTTATTTTTTTAAAAATAATTTCGCTAAATAATTCTTATATTTATGTTGGATAAAGCTCCTTCTCTTTTTTCTTCAGAAAAAAGTACTGATAAAAGTTTTAAGGGCTACAGGGATTATAATTTTTTAGCTTAAAAAATAAACATTTTCTTTAATGTTTTTAAATTTGTATAATTCTAAGTTATAATAGTAAATTGGTGTAAAGAAGATTAAAATATTTCGAAATCTATAAAAACTCAATGTAAATTCAGTAATGCAAGTTATTCTCAATTTTAGTTTCTCTAATCGTGCTTTCAATTCCTTACTATAAATAAACAATCTAGTCGCTACAAAAGCATTATCATTGAAAATTTCCTATTTAACATAGATATTATAAATATTTTTGAAGAATAAGAAATTTTAATTAAATTTCTTAAAAATCTTATGAATATAATAGAAATGTGAAACTTTAAGTAAAAAATAAAACTTTAAACTACCCAAAATTTAAACTATATACAAACACAGGTTTCGGGACTAGTACTCTTTTTTGAAAGTCAACGAGTAAATCAATTTGTTTGTAAATATAATCTATTTAATACCAACTGATCGCACATAAGCTCAATTATTTTCATTATTTCCATTTATGGTCATAATTTATATTAACCCCAACGCGTCGTTACTGAGTGGTATAAGCTTTATTTGCAATAAGTACTAACATACAAGTGCTTGAAACCACTGTGCTGCACAAATGTTGTACTGTCCAGATAAAAAATACACGCACATTTTCGAAAGGATTGCTCCCTTCCGTTTATATCGCTTGTGGATTGTTTGTAAACAATGCGGATTGGTTAATAATGCTTTTCGGAGATGCCTGGTTTGACAGTAAAAAATTATTTTAAAGTTGATTCAAGGTTTAAATGATTGTTCATTAGTTTGCATAGATAATTTTGATATTAAATGAGAAAAAACTTTTAACAAAAAACTTTTCAGAACTTTAAACTACTCAAAATTTAGACTGAATACAAAATACAGGTTTTGCGACGGATGTGTTTTTTTAAAGTTAACGAGTAAACCAATTTACTAGTAAATGTAGTACTTACTAGTAAATGGAGTGAACCAATTTATTAGTAAAACTATTTAATACCAAGTGATCAAAACCTAAGTTCAATATATAATTGGTACTAATTTATGATAATCCGAACGTATCGTTACTGAATGGAACTAGTTTAATTGGCATCAACTACTAAAATACAAATGTTTGAAACCAACTTGACAAAGACTTAAAGCTTTTCAACGTAAAAGAACGAGATCTAAAGAGCAGAGTTTGCTTTTTAAAAAAAAAACTTTAGTCTGACTAATCTAGATTTAGAATCTAAACTAAATCTTGAATATATTTATAAGAAACAAAAGAAAAATAAACCTATCGCAAAAAAGTAGGGTTATAATGTGCACAAACATTTTAGAATTAAAAAAAATTTCATGACTAGTGTAACATCAAAATAGTGTCAAATGCTTATGCAACAGAAAAAGAATGCTTTAGAAGAGTGAAGTAGAAAGTCTTTGGGTATTTTAAATTAAAGTGTTAGTGCTGATCTAAAGGATGAGATAGGGTTAATCACTTTCCATTTATGGTAGTAATTTATAGTAACCCCAACGTACTTTTACTGAATGGTATAAGCTTAATTTGCAACAACAACTACTAACAAATGTTTGAAACCAACTTGATAAAGATTAAAAGCTTTTCAATGTAAAATCTCGAGATCTAAAATGCAGAGTTTGCTTTAGAAGTCTGACTACACATCTTGGATACATTCATAAGAAACATAAGAAAAGCAAACCTGTTTCTAAAAATAAAACGAAATGGTTGTGTTTTAATTTGTACTAACAATTTAGTATTTAAAAACTGTCATCACTAGTTAGTGTTAAATGTTCTATGCAACTGAGAAAGAATGTCTTAGTAGAGTTAAGTGGAGAGTCTTCGGATATTTTTACTCAAAGGAAGAGATTTAATCACTTACCTGAGGTTGGGGTTATGGCAGGGTTTGCTAGTCCGTTAGGGACCGTCGTCATTTGAGGCAACTGCGCAATGGCCAATGCTGCCATCGGATTCACGTAACCCCCTTGTGCCGCTGCGGCCATGAGGGCTGCTTGCTGTTGCATGAACTGAAAAAAAAAAAAAAACAGCATACATAAAGCACTGAACTGAAGTAACAACATACATACAATACAGATAAACAGACCCCATATAAATCTTTTGGAAATCAATTTTCTGTCAAATTGGCTGAAAATTTAATATGTTATTTTTCAAAATATTCTGATCAAAAGCTCTTGTTGACACTAAGTCCAAAAATGGATAATGTCCAAGTTACGGATCCTTAAACATAAGAAAAATGAACAACGATCACTCTGGTGAAAGGTGTTTCAAGCGCGCAGTATTGGTGGATGCAAAAAAGTAATGCTAGCTACTCATTTCCGAGATACAAAGTTTAAGTTATAAATAGTAGTTCTCAATTCTTTAATTCCGTCACGGTAGCATTAACCGATAAAATTAAAAAAATAGTTAAATTGAAAAAAAAACATTGATAGTTAGATTAGGTAATGAAAATGGTAGTATCACGACGAACGCTGACTACAACATTCAACTACAACATCTGTCGAATTTTTAGCTAATTTGACTGAAAATTAATTTCCATAAGATTTGTGCAGGGTCCTTTCTTCATTTCTAACGAAAATTTATTTTCAGCATACAATACAATCTGCCTAAAATTATTATAAAATACACAGAACTGTTTCAAAAAATATAAAAAAAACGAAAATAAATTTTTTTTTAATCGAACATGAAAACATATATAATTTAGAAAAGCAGAACATGTTAATGGAACTACAACGACTTCATTAATAAAATATGACAATGTATATAATAGAAACATATATAATTTAAAAAGCAATGAATAATAATAAATATTCTGCATTCTAAATTATAATGAAAACACATATAATTTAGAAAAACAGAACATGCTGAGGAAACTATAAATACTTCATTAGTAAAACATTGGACAGAAAGTTTTTATTGCAATGAATCCAATCAAATTATTAAATCAATCATCACATGAATGAATTTTGAGAAAAAAAAAGGAAATAAGTTTTAAACAGACTACCAGAAACGAATGGCATGCATTCAAAGTAATGACGAACAATTAATTTGCTTGGAAACATAAATACTTTAGTATCATAACAGCCGAAATCCAGAGGGATATTTTTGAAAGAGCTGTAATTTTTTCCCCAATGTCGCTTCATAAAAGGCATCATTACATATTTTCTTTGTAATCACAATTTAATCCGGGCTTTTAACACTATCAATGAAGTATAAGTGCTCGTTTTTCTAATACAAAAGAACAATACAGAGGGTTATTTTTTAAAAAAAAAATAGCCATACCCCTCCTCCTCTGCATGCACACCGTTTATCACAAAGAATAGTTATTTTCGCCAAAGCCATTGAAGTTCACGCCATGGCTGTTATTAATCAAAAAAGAAGACGTTTTAGTTTTCATATTATTACCAACACATAAAAGTCCAAAGAAAATGGGGAAAAAATAAATAGAAGGAGCCGGCATAAGCTTCTTTGGCGATGAGTCTGATAATTTATGTTGTTCTTGACACTGTATTGTATAAAAGGAAATAAAAATTTTCCCTTTAGGTTTATGCAATTTAGGCTGGAAAAGGGGGAAAAAATGGCGGAACTGCTTTGGCCAGATAGGGGAAAAGGGGGCAATTTTTTCCTCGTCTTTCATCTTTTGTTTGATAAATAATGCACTGTCCTGATGAAAAATAAGCGCATATTTTCGAAAGGATTGCCCCCTTTCATTTACATTGGTAAGTTTCGGTCTTGGAACAGCTTGTGGATTGTTTGTAAATAATGTGGAAGGGGTTAAAAAGATATTTGGTGTTAATAATGCTTTTTGGAGATGCCTGGTTTTGACAGCAAAAGAATTATTTTTAAGTTGATTTAAGGTTTGAATCATCGTTCAATAGTTTACGTTTATAGTTTTGATATTAAATGAAAAAATAATTTCCATTAAAATAGAGGAATATAAGTTTTTTTCAATATTAGTATAAGGAAATATCAATTGTTTTTGCTTTGTTGACACTTTAATATTTTTGAAAGGATAATTTTAAATGTGGTTTGCATCATCATTTAACGGTTTTCCTTCATACGTTTAGTATTAAACGTGAAAAATAATACAGTTCCTAAAAGTATCGTTATAAGGAAATATAAACAGTTTTTATATTGCTGGAACAATGCGATTTTTAAATTTTTAAACAAAGTATAATCGTGTATTTGCAATCTGAAAGTTTCAAATTGTAAATTTGAATTTACGTTTAAAAATTATATAACTGATTGAAACTATAGTAATCGCTCATGATTTTGATATTAAGTGCAAAAAATAATTTGATTTAGAAAAGAGAAAGATTAATTTTTATTATTATTTTCGTAAAAACATATCAATAGTAATTTAATAGTCTTTAAGGAATTGGAAAATTAGGTTATTAATTTTTCTTTAAAAAATAAACCATCGACAAATCAATGTATTTAAACAGGAAAATTCAGCTATTGGTTGTAGCAGTCTGTTGAGCTGTTTTAAATATTTTAATTTTGAACAAAAAATATTAAAGGAATATATTTATCACTAGTCAACCGACGCTTTTGGTGTTGCTGCTTTTTGTTGACCTGTCTAACAAAATTTTTTAAGAAATGGTCGATGAAGTAGGAAATATAGTTGTTTTGGCACAAAAGGTGCCATTTCAAGACTGTGAATGATAAACATTCATTACATCATCCAGTCAATTAACTTAACCACGAGTAATCAAAAGAATACAGTAAAACCACGGCACTGCGCTGCACCAAAATCCCATTCAAGTTAAATACCAAAAATATGTTTTGTCTTATTCTTTCCTTGCCTAGGCAACTGAGATACGTTTTTTAAAGTCAAAATTTAATGCGTTACCTGACAAACACCGAAATCCAGAGAACGAATTGTTTGTTTTTGTTCGAAAGCTTGCCCTATCGGGTCACTAGAGTTCAGATTATATTTAGGTAATAAGCAAGCCTGTATACAAGTGGTTACAGCCAGCTTCAGCCAAACAAAAACCAAAAAGAGTTTTAACCACAAGAAACCAAGCAGGCGTTTAAAACCAAACAGGAGCGTGTATGTGAAACATACATTAATTACTTTAAGTATTTTTAAATCGGTGGTGGAGGGAAAACCAGTCTTAGAATAGTCTTACAACTTATTTTAATCTACACAACGAAAAAAATATCTTCAAAAATACTAGCATATGGTAAAATTTACCATGATTTTGCTCTATGGAAACAACCAAAAATCTTGGCAATTTTTACTGGAGAGCTTTGGTAATGATTTTGGTATAATTATGAATAAAATACAGTTTCATGTCATTGAGGTAATTTTACGAAAATGTTTTTCTCCGTGTACTTTCAGTTGTCCTCTGAAGTTCATGGAGTTGATTTTTCAAAAAATTAATATGTTTGGTGCAATTTAAACACATTTGACCTTCATAATTCTTTCTTTCTTTATATATCTAATTACCAATATATTTTTTATTTCCATATTATTTTTTTGCATTCTGAAATTTTAACTGTCGGTAGCTTATTAGTCTAAATATCGACTATTTAATGCACTTCTTTTTCTTTAATAATTTTATTGTGGCTTTAATAATGTTTGTGTTGTTTCTTTAAGTTAAACATATTTAATGTAATTGTAATTATTAATCTTAAGCTAATTACAACATAATTTTGATATTTTCACTTTTAAAAAGTCGCATTATACCAAAGCTCATCTAAAAAATTCCCATGAAATTTCAAGTTGTGGCATGGCCTTTAGGATGGAGCGACAGTAAAATTAAAATAAAACTGGTTTTCAAAATTATTAAAAATCTTTAAGTAGTGTATCTCAATAATGTTATTATTTTGAAATTATTAAAAATATTTAAGAGAATCTCAATACTAAAGTTATTGTTCTCAGAAAATTTAACTTAAACTGGTTTTTTAAATTATTAAAAATACGTAAGCAAGCTTCAACGCAAAATTTTTAATCGCTTTTAGAGAGTTTATCATTTGTTTCTTTTTAAACATCACATTGTACAATAGCGCATCTAGGAAATACTTACGCACGACCTTAGCATGAAAGGTCTATACCTATAGGTTAATACCTATAGGTTAAAATGTAACAGAAAATTAAAAAAAAAATTTTTTGCAAAATTATTTAAGAGTCAAATGAAAACGTCGTTAAGAAGTCAAATGAAACGTTAAGAGTCAAATGAAATTATTATACGTCGAAAATTAAGTTAAAACTTCTTTTTAAAGTTATTAGAAAGCTATGAAAGACCTCAATTCTGAAGATTTTATTCATTTTTAGGGTATTTACGATTTACTTCTTTTGAAACTTTGCATTTTAAAATAGCATATCTAAGAAATACGCACCACTTTTATGTTAGAAGGACTTTTATGCACCCACAAGTCAAAAAGTTGCAGAAAATTAAATTAAAACTTTTTAAAATTATTAAAAAGCCACCCGAAAACCTTAATGCTAAAATTATTATTCTCCTTTCGAATACTTAATTCTGAAAAAGATTCAACAAATAAGTAGTACCTCCTTAAAAACAACAAAATAAAAGGTATGTATGCTTAACATTTTAAAATAGATCGTTTTTGCAACCTTAATTTAAAACGCGTTTACCCAAGATAATTTATTTTCCCGAAACTATTTCTCTTTGTAACACATCCTTCTAAATTAGAATCAAAGTTCTGCTCTTTCTAATCTTGCCTGTTGCTTTCTCGAAGCAAGCAAGGATTTAATTAAAACTCTATCTTTTAATCTAAAAGAGTAGAAGAGGGGGGTCGTGTTTAAAAATGTATTCTGAAAAGTAAGTTTTTACTTTTCCCCGCTTTACCTGTTTAATTCCCACAATCCTGCAGTGAAATTAGCCCCACTATCTTCTGTTTATTTTTATTATGGAATCACTTTGGTATCTTCTCGCACGCCACTACCAAAATGGAACAATTTCCCCCCTTTTCAACCCCCCTCTTTTCGCAACAATGAACTGTGATTGCTTTTAATGTTATGTCCTATCCAACTGAAATCTCTTTCCTTAAAACGTGTACCGTTTTCTATTTTGTTTGGATATGTTAATTAAAACTCCGGGATAAAATTTCTCTGGATTTCATATCTCGGGATCTTTTACGTTATAATAGTAGGAGCTGAGGCAAAGGAAAATCCAGTGTTATTTAATAAGAATGTTATTACTATTCACTAAATTTGAAAGAGGATGGGGAAAAATAATTTAATTTTCCCTTTGATATATTTTCCTTTCGACTATAAAGTTTTGAGAATTGTGTAGTTAGAAATTTTGTTTCTCGAGTTAGAGCTGAAAATGTGGCATTGTAATAAGTGCAAAATATTAGAATATGTAAGTTTCTAATTTAGTTTTAATTTTATTGCTTTAAATTTTAAAACATGATATAATATTAAGTCTATAGTTTTTAATATTAAATGTAAATATTGAATTTAAATTTTTTTTATTTTTCATATTCATTTCATAACCTTTATTATAAGTGCAAAATATATGAGATATGAGTTTCTAATTCAGAAAATTTTTATCATTTTAAATTTTTAAGCGAATTTACATTGATTTGAAAATTTTATACTTCATTCATTTTATAACATTTCTTATAAATGCAAAATATCTGAAATGTGAGTAAAGCAAACATTTATGCAGGTGTATCATTTTCCTGATCACGTAATTTATTCTAGCCAGCCAATCAACAGTTTGGCAATCGAAATGGGATTTTGGTGATACATCGCAGAACTGCCATGTACTGCGTGTGGATAGCCATAGGAATAGGAATAGGAAATACGCTAGTTTTTTTTTTTTTGGTTTCAAACCAATATTTTTTTTTTTTTTTTAACTCGGAAGGGCAAGCGGGATCATTTTATGATCCTCATGCATTCGATAAGTTTTGATTCCTAAACAACTATTCACCTGTTTATCCCTTTTTATTAGTAGCTGAGTTTTCCATCATTATCTTCCTTAATTTAAAGGAATTTCGATCATTTTCTCACCCCCAATAAACGTTTTATCAGTTACTGTTATGTTTTTATCAGATGCGCGGGGACTGATCCCGCACGTCTTTCCAATTTATTCTACAAATTATTTCATTTCTCATGGCTGACAAGTTCAGTGGGTTATTTTTTATTCCCAATTACAGTGATTTCTATTTGTTTACAATGTTCATAAAAATTTTCTGCAAGAAGCACAGGAACTGCTTTGCTATCTAACAATAACTGCGCATAAAAACCGGTGACCCAACTGTTACCTAATTGTGCATGAAATTCAGACTTTGGCTATGTCACTTATTAGTGATTAACACTGGAAAACGTGCTGTTAATTCATGTTTGAATCATGAACTGTCAGTTTCAACTATTTAACAGTTTTCTTATGGAACCTCTCAAATATAGAAATTAAAAACTTCCTGAAAAGGAAATTTTTATTAGAGGGTTCCACTAATTCTGGAGAAGTCGAGAACTACTGGAACTAACGAACTGAGCCCAATTGTTCCGCCCCCCCAAGGTACACATAATCTCTGCGTGTGGCTATAGTCTCCGATAAAAAAAATATTTCTACATATATACAGTCAAGTTTGCATTAAAACAATTAAATCGAGTAATAATTTATACATTAATTATCAGGGAAGTAAATATTATCATGTTTCAATCAATTTTATTGCTAAAAGAAAGGTAAAAAGATTCAAATAGTTAAAGAAATACATATTCTGAGTCTAAGACTCAAAAGTGTTAGATTTGCAATAAAGATTATAACGTATTTTAGCAGCTTATTTAATGAATTTGATTTTGGGTCCTTCCATGACCCCGGCGTGTCTAAATGTTCGTTAAGGAGTGGGTCCAAATGTTCTTCTGGGTTAAGCGTGGTCACTATTTGGAACTCAAAACTGCATTAAACGTAGTGCTTAATTTAAGCATCATGGAAATTTTAAAATATATTTTTGATAATCTAAATGCGAAAAAATATACATTCCCGTGATGGCTCAGGGGACAGAGTAATCGCCTTCCAATGAGGTGAACTGGGTTTGAATCCCAGCTATGGCTGGTCGATGCGAACCCTCATCCGGCTTGTACTGACCACAGTGCTGACGTAAAATATCCTCAGTGGTACATGGATCATAGATCAGAGTTCCCTTGCCATCAGGCTTACCATGGGAGGTTTTCGTGGGTTTACACTTCATGTAACGCAAATGCGGGTAAGTTCCATCAAAAAGTCTTCAACGAAGGCAAATTTCTCCGAAATCTTGATCCAAGAGTTCCCTTGTCTTCTGGATTGGGTTCAAAATTACAAGTCTACGGAGTTGAATCTTAGTAGTCGTAAACCCAAAAATTGGGTCAGCTGTTCAACGATGGTTACAAAATAAAAATAAAATACACTCCCATACATCTGAGCAGAGGAGGGGAGGGAAGGGGGAGGCTCTATACATGGAACCGTTCTTCTTCCCAGTTGGAGCATTTCAGGGATGCGATCGCGAATCGATGTCTTTACATCTCGGAGTTACATAGATAAGGCACTGTTATCGGAAGATAATACAAATACGTGCAATATAAATTTAACATAGCAATGGAAAAATGAGGGTAGTGAAATAGCAATAGAGAATAAAAGGGAAAGAAGACACAGAACGTGTGAGCACACATACATTAAGATCTACCTGTGCGTATGCACCATAAGCACCAAACTGGTTGAAAATGAATGGATTAAGTAGGCCACCCATATTCCCCGTCATTTGCTGCATTCTCCTCATTTGTCTTTCTTTCTCTGTGTCGGCGAATTTCACAACAAGGCTAGATGATGCTCCCTGCAAAACAAAACAAAAACTGAGTTATTTGCATTTTACGAACAAATGGAATCGACAACTAATACAATAAATGACACCATTGAATAAGTAAGGTGGAAATGTATAGTGCATATTTTCCTCTCCATATTGGGCGGTTTTGTCATGCTCACATCTATCGAACTGGGTCACATTTTAATTTCCATTCATTCCACCTTATTTCAAGTTTAATGCCAGACAAAGAGAGAGTTAAACAAACTTTATACTACGGGTTCACGTTTGTAAGGCTAATAGTTGGCAATTTTCCAAGAGATTTTAAATCAGTCCAAATGAATTTGAGGATCGTAGGATTTTATAACGCACCAATTGCGAATTTGCTAGCTTCTTTTAATGAAGATAGTCTAAGTTCCACACTTTTCATAAGTTCTTGTATTTCACAAATGTACAAGCATATATCGACTCAAGATGTATATTGCAATCGAAATGATTGGTGCAAATGCTTCTCTGTATATGCACTTTTGTGTCAATACATGGCCTCAGCTTTTCGTGTTCATATACCGCCTTTTGCAACAAAAACCTTCCATACATTTTTTAAAAAGCTAGTCTGCTTAAATTACCTAAAATGTGGCCAAGTATGAGCATAAACCAACTTTTATTATAAACATTTGTAAAAAGAAACAACATTGCTTAAATATTTATACATTTAATTAATGTGTGGAAGAAAGAGAGGTAATGTGATTTTTTTAATGAAGTGCATTTTAAGATGTATTTTATTTTTTATAAATTGGCTAATGTGCAGTCCGGTTTTATTTTTTAGGGGTCTGACCGAACTATTTTAAGGTAACGGTATAAAGGCTTTCAGCAAAGGAGGTAAGGATCCAAACCTGAAAAAATAGTTCAAGTTTTTTTTGCTTCAAGCGTTCTACTTCACCTTTAGTTCTAGTAAGGAAACTAAGTTTCTGTTTGACAAACTCTATACAGTTTGGTCGCGCTTGTAAAGTTGGCAACTTATTAAGGGATATTGAAGTAGTTTTATGAATGCGTGGTTGAATGTAAATTATATATTAATTGTATGCTTTTTTTTTCTCTTTGGAATGAAAACTGTGAAAGATTTTTAAATTTTTTTTCTGATTCGAATTTTCAATTGAAATTATTCAGATTTTCTCTAATTTTGTTAATAATTTATTCTTCATATACAAGCTGTTTGACTCTGATTAGTAAATATAGAATGACGAAATGTATAAAATGAAATTTTCATTACTTCTTTTTTCATTCAAAATTTCCCAATATTTATTATTTAGCAGACTCGACTTGAAGTCTAATATAAGATTTGAGAATAGTTTAATTCAGCAAATGGAGTGATATGATTTAGTTTCGCTACGTTAACTAAAGCTGTGTGTCAAGAGAAATTTCTCTGAATTTACTACTAAGTTCTAATTTCCTTTATAAAAATGAATTAAAAAAAATCTGAACTAAATTTATCAAATTTCCAGTATTTTCTTCTATTGCTTTTAATAAAACCATTCCCCATTCCTATCTTCTTAATATTATTTTTTTAATTTAATGATGTTTCACTTTCATTCTTTCCTTTTTTTTCTATAGTTATTGATTAAATGTTATCGTTATTTTTAAATTACATAATCCATTATCTTTCATTCTAATTTCCTTAAGTGCTTTGATTTTTAAAAAATCTTTAAGCGGAACTCCTAAATTATGCACTCTCAAACGACTAACTAAAATGAGATTCAAATTTATTTCAAATAAATAAAACTAATTTTTTATAAATAAGAAATGAAATATTTTTAAAAGTAGCGATTTTAATGTGTAACATGATTCTATCAGTTTTGTCAATTTTGAGTTTATGAACTCATTTAAAGATGTATGTATTTTGTATTTTTAAAAAAGATAAGTTTACTTAAGAACGTAATCAATCAATGGAATATTTCTAATTCATCTAATATTCCGACCATTACTGGTACTATGTTTGTAATTACGAAAAATTCACTAAAATTCACAGTAAAATTTACAGCCCATTGAGAAGAACTTTGCAATATTTCTTTGTTTTGAACATTCTGGAAAAGTTTCAAAGTTTCTGCATGTGACAATTTTTGACAACTGTCACCCACAATTGTAGAGACTTTGAGACCAGAAATCTCAAAAACAACTTTTTTAACATTCAATTATAGAATGCTTAGCAAAAACTCAATTAAAATGACGTGACGTATCTAAATTTTATTGTAAAATCTCTTGAAAGATTGTTCGTTTAAAATGAGCTATATTATAAACATTTAAAAAATAGTACAAAATATTTATGAAAAAATATATAATCAAAATGCTGCTCAATTAAAAAAATTAATTCAAATATCTTGTTGAATATTTAACAGAATATAAATACAAAAGTGCTTTATATATGCAAAATTAGACATAAACTTATATAAACCTTTGACGCAGTTGATAGACCGATGTCTGTTTCATATATTTTTTTCTGATGCTCTAATTACAACCAAAAATATTTTATGTTGCTTTTAATTATAAAAACAGTCTAATAGTTACTAAAAAATCGATTAGATTATTGGAATAATATTTGTACTTAAATATGAAAAATAAAAAAGTAAAGTAAAAAACATTTTTTCCCATTCATTTTCAGGGTAAAAATGTATCAATTAATGATTTTATAAATTAAGAAAATTTCATTGATAAATAACTGTTTCTCTTAGACCTAAATAACGGCAAATTAGCGTAAATTTTAAAAAATTATTTTTGGAAGTGAGCCATGTTTGGAAGATTTTACCTTTAATGCAGAAAAAAACGCTGGTGTCTGTGCTGTACTTCATAGCAATAAATTATTAAAATGCTAAATATAATATTGTCCCTTTGTTTTGAGGTAAATTAACATAGAATAATAAGAACAGTAAAAAAAATGTTTAATAAAAATTCTGCGTCATAGGGTAAGAAGTCGAATTCGGAGTCGCAGATTGTATATAGCAGAAATTATTAAAATTGCTATGCATTTTGTTTAAGAACGGTAATTCATATGCTGTAATGCATAACCGTTTTTAGTTTAATTATATTACTATTTGCTTGAGGAACTGTGCATGAACGCTTGACGACTTATTTATATGAATGCTTGACGTCAAAAAAAAAAAGATGAACTTATACTTTTCCTTATCTGCAAATAACAAAAATATTGAAAGTTGAATATTATAAAAAGACATAACCCTGCTTATTCTCACACTGTGGCAAATCGCTGGAATTATAAATTAAGGAGACACGCGTGAAACTTTCATATTCAAACAGCTCTTCTAGTTCCTTTTACTTTTACAAATTAATCCATTAGCATACTGAAGTCTTCATTTGCAAAGTCGCAGACAAACACATCAGAATACTAATTCAGGAAAAACTAAAAGCAACTTCACTTACTCGAACTTTACACGTACTTCGAACATGGGTCTAAAATCACTTAAAACAGAATGTGCTGTCGTCTAAGTCCCTTTTTTTCCCTCTCTCTTTCCCACTTTTGCCCTTTTTAAGGAAAAGAACGACTTTCTCGTAAAAGTGGACCAACGAAATAATTACAGACTTCATTACTTGCTTTTGGCGAGGGGTTAAGACTCACACTAGACACTTAAAACAAAACTAATTAAAAACCAGAGCTCTTAATTTAGGTACTAAACAAGTCTTTCCACATTACGCCAAAGAAGAGGTTGGCGGCAAAAAAAGAAGGCAACTTGAAAAGCCTTTTCCCTATCTTCTTGCCCTACACCTTATTTTGTTGCCAAGCCTCACTGACACTAAATGGGTCTTGATGGTTCCTTCAAAGAAAATTTTAGTAGATTAGATTAAATGAGAACAAAGTGTAGAGTGAAGCGAAGATGGAACCCTTTTCGAGTTCCTTCAGAGCTTGTTACTTAGTAAAAACGTTTCTTTTTTGTACCCCACGAAAAAGAATAAATTCCCTGTGACAGCTCCTTTAAGAGCTCCTTGGTGATTTTCTTTAAATTATTTTAAAAGCTGAAACCACCGTTGGTGGTAGGAAAAATGTCATAAGTATTTTGAGATTCACCAGAACTGTTTAATGACATTATTTTTTTGCAGAATGAACTTTAAAATGACCGAAGGGATGACTTTCGAGTGTAATAATGATCATAAAGTTACTTTAAATCAGCTTAGAGTTGCAGTTTATGAAGTTTTAGTATATTTGCTTAATACCAACATTTGAGGTTATTCTAATTTAGAATTTGGCAGTAAAATTCGCATTTTTTCGAAATAAAATTTTAGAAATTGAGTTATGGCACGAAATAGGAAAGTGTAACGAAATGAATCCTCATCGTAATTTTCAAAATAGATTGCAGAAGTTAATCGCTTTTATTATGGAAATTCAATGAGAGCAAAGTCTCTTCTCATTTAAAAAACTTGAGGTATCAACATTAAGACATTTTTGATGGAAATGATAGATACTTCCGGAAATAGAGATACTTTCCCCTGACCACAAAACCATTGCCTACAGATCTTAAACTTTATCTGTCTATGAATAACTACTACGGATTTGGTATGAGCCTCAACCGAAAAATTTCTCTGAGTTATCACTGAACCAGGGTTCTATACCCGGTGATGGCTTGGAGTCTAAACAACTTCAGATCGATAGGTATGAGCTCTTCTGAGAATTAAGGGTGCTAAAGTGCGCAATGCTGTACAAATGGCAGCATTATGCCGTTTGTCTCGAAATTGTGGAACTGAAAGCTCCATAGTTCCCTTGGCTATAGCAAACTGTTGAGGGAAGATTTTAGCTTGAAAAAATTGGCATGGATACAAATTTGCATTTTTAATTAAAGCTGTAATGATATTTCAAAATATGCTATTTGATTTTACTCGCAAAATCTTTTAGAACTTTAACGAGAATGATTGTTCTCCTAAACTTTGCATCATAAAAGTGCTTACGTTTTGGAGGTAAATGTGTGATGAAAATATGAACTGCATAGCAACTAAAAATAAGCATAAAATCATATTTTATTTCTTAAAATAGG